GGATTGGACAGCCTCATAAAACAAAATGGGACTAATGAGGCACAGCAGTCCAGGGACAAGGACTAGAAGGCAGGAGGGGACAGGAAAGCTGGTGATAGGAAACCCAAGGTTGAGAAGGGACAGTGTTGAAATGTCATGGAGTTGTTAACCATTGTCATAGGGCAATATGTGTACTGTTTGATGAAAAACTGTATGTTCTGCAAACCTTCATGTAAGGCACACACAAAAAAAAGAAATTATGTGAGTTCAAATTGACAACAGCAACTCAAAACGTTTGATGGGAAGCCTGGGGGGCTGTGAGTTGAAGATAATGGTGATGGAATGATTTGGAAAAGGATAGTGAGAATAGCAGCACAACTGGAAGAATGTAATCAATGTTAGTAAATTGTACATGTAGAAACTTTTCAAATGGTGTAACTTTGGCTATGTATGTTTTCACCAAAAAAAAAGCCCTCTAAGGTCGAGAAGTGAGAGTGTTGACATGTCATGGTGTTGTTAACCAATGTCATAAAACGATATGTGTACTGATTGTTTAATGAGAAACTATTTGTTCTGTAAACCTTCATCTAAAGTACAATTTAAAAAAATTTTTTTAAGACACTTAAATAAAAAGCTAGAAATAGATGCACCATACGATCCAGCTATCCCGCTCCTAGAGAAATAAGAGCCGTCACACGAATAGATGTATATGCACACCCATGTTCGTTGCAGCACTGTTCACAATAGCAAAAAGATGGAAACAACCTAGGTGCCCATCAACGGACAAATGGATAAACAAAGTATATCTACATGATGGAATACTACACAATGATAAAGAACAACGATGAAGCCGTGAAACATCTTACGACATGGAGGAAGCTGGAGGTCATTATGCTGAGTCAATTTAGTCAGTTCCAGAAGGACAAATATTGTATAAGACCACTATTATAAGAACTCAAGAATAAGGTTTAAACACAGAAGACAACATTCTTTGATGGTTACAGGGGTGGGGAGGGAGGGGGAGGATTATTTACTAACTAGATAGTAGATAAGAATTATCTTAGGTGAAAGGAAGGACTCCACTCAGTATAGGGGAGGTCAGCACAACTGGGCTAAACCAAAGCTAAGAAGTTTCCTGAATACTATCAAACACTTTGAGGGATAGAGTAGCAGGGGTAGGGGTCTGGGTACCATGCTTTCAGGGGATATAAAGGTCAATTGTCATAACAAAGCTTATTAAGAAAATGTTCTGCATCCTACTTTGGTGAGTGGCGTCTGGGGTGTTAAAAGCTTTCAAGTGGCTATCTAAGATGCCTCAATCGGTCCCAACCACTTGGAGTAAAGGAGAATGAAGAATACCAAAGACACCAGGGAAGTATTGGCCCAAGAGACAGAAAGGACCATATAAACTGGAGACTTCATTCGCCTGAGACCAGAAGAGCTGGATGGTGCCTGGCTACCACCAGTGACGGCCCTGACATGGAACACAACAGAGAGTGCCTGATGGAGCAGGAGAAAGGTGGGGTGCAGAACACAAATTCTAGTAAGACTAGACTTGGTGGTCTGACTGAGACTGGAGGTGCCCCGGAAAGCATTGTCCCTGGATTCTCTCTCAGTCCAGCACTAAAACACTTTCCGAGGCCAACTCTTCAGACAGGGATTGGACTGGACTGTGAGACATAAAGTGATACTCGTGAGGAGTGTGCCTCTTAGCTCAAGTTGATACAAGAGACTAAACAGGCAGTTTCTGTCCGGAGGTGAGATAGGAAGGCAGAGAGGGTTAGGATCTGATTGAATGGACATGGGGAATACGGGGTGGAGAGAGTCTGCTGTCATAGTATGGGGAGAGCAGTTAGAGTCCCATAACAATGTATGTATAAATTTTTGTATGGGGAAATAATTTAAAAATACATAATAAATATACTTAACTAAAACAGTTTTTAAAAGCTTCCAAAAAAAAAAAAAAGTTATAGATTCTATCGAAGAAACATACCCAAGGTTCAGGACACGTCAGGGTTCCGGAGACTGAAGGCAGTGATCAGTTCTTGCATGATTAGAAAAGGCTTCATTGAGGAACTAACTTAGTGTCTCAGAAGATGAGATGTTCACCTATAAGAGTACAGATTGGATAGTGGGGACATTCTAGTCAGATGAGCAGGTTAAGAAATTCACAGAAGCACAAAATGAGTTTGTGTCTTTCAGGAACTTTAAGTCTCACTGGAGCACAGGAACTAGGTCATGGAGAGCCCTGTATGTCAAGCTGAGAAGTTTGATTTTTATCCTAAAGGCAATAAGTAGCTACTGAAAGGATTCCTGTAGGGAGTGAGTTGGCTGTTCTTATTTAAAGAGTACTGTAATGGCAGTATGTTGGGTAGCATAGAAGAAGGTAAAATTGTTCATTATTTATTCCTTTTTTTTTCCTTTCAGCTACGACTGATAGATTGGGGTTTGGCTGAGTTTTACCATCCTGGCCAAGAATATAATGTCCGAGTTGCTTCCCGATATTTCAAAGGTCCTGAGCTGCTTGTAGACTATCAGGTAAGAAGAGAAGAGCAAGTACAATTTCGGTCACTTGTTTATATTGCACATAAATTGTTAAATATGTCATTTTGTGTCATCCCAGTAGCTTTTGAGCACGCAGTTTATGCATGTTCATGGTGGTCTGTTTTATATGAAATATAAGTTACTTCAATTCATCTCGCATAGTTTATATTGCTTTTATTGTCGTAACAACAGTAGAATATGAATATGTCTGTATTTGGTCCTAAATTAAGGGAATATACACCGAAGATGCCTTTTCTAATCAGAAATTCCAGATCTAGTTTGAGAATTGTAAGCAAAGTTTAAATATAAAGACCTTCCCCCAGCCCCCCAAAAATAAAATAAAGTCTTTCTCCTCACAGATAAAAGAACGACATTAATAATTTATCTAGCATATAAGATTGCCAAGTGTTTCAGGAATCCTTGGCAGCACCCTTCATGACCCAGTGATGATAAAAGTCTTCCCAGGAGATGCTATCAGATGCCTTAAAAAGTATCACTCGTTTTTTTTAAAAAAATTGTGTTTTAAATAAAGGCTTACAGAGCAAATTGTTTGTCGTTAAACAATGAATACACGTATTGTTTTGTGACGTTGGTTGCCAACCCTGCAATGTGTCAGCACTCTCCCCTTCTCAACCTTGGGTTCCCCATTTCTATTCGTCCAACTTTCTTGTCCCCTCCTGCCTTCGCATCGTTGCCCCTGGGCTGTTGTGCCCATTTAGTCTCATATACGTGGTTGAACTACACGTGTTGTTTGTTTGTTTTACGGGCCTGTCTAATCTCTGGCTGAAGCGTGAACCTCAAGAGTGACTTTGGTAGTCAGTTAAAAGGGTGTCTGGGGGCCATACTCTCGGGATTTCTCCAGTCTCTGTCAGACCAGTAAGTCTGGTCTCTTTTGTGAGTTTGAATTTTGTTCTACATTTTCCTCCAGCTCTGTCAGGGACCCCTATTGTGACCTCTGTCAGAGCAGTCAGTGGTGGTAACCAGGCACCATCTAGTTGTGCTGGACTCAGTCTGGTGGAGGCTGTGGTAGGTGTGATCCATTAGTCCTTTGGACTAATCTTTCCCTTGTATCTTTGGTTTTCTTCAAAAGTTTCAGACTCTTTGACCTAAAAATTCCTTTTCTGGAATCTTGAGGATAGAACCCTGAGTTCAGAAAGCATTTAATGCACAAAGATATTCTTTACAACATTATAATAGTGAAAAACAAAACACTGTCCTATTATAGGGGAGAGTAAAGATTAAATTCTGGATCATTTATGTAATATTAATGGCAGGCATTAAAGTGATACCATAAGCTAACAATTTGGGGACATTCTTATGTAATTGATGGAAGCAATTCAAAACAGTATGTACAAATTGTTTTAAAACTGTGAGGGGAAAATGCATAGAAGACTGAAAATAAATAAATAAAGATGTTATTAGTGTTTGGCTTTGAGTCATTAGAGGTGTGGTTTTTTTTTCCCCCTAATACTGAAAAGCAGTTTTATTTTGAAGTGACAAGCCTAGGAATTTGTGTATGATAACAATTTTCTTTACTTTTATGCAGATGTATGATTATAGTTTGGATATGTGGAGTTTGGGTTGTATGCTGGCAAGTATGATCTTCCGGAAGGAGCCATTTTTCCATGGACATGACAATTATGACCAGGTGATACATGTTGTTCCCATTAGGGAACTTACTGGCCTAACCTGATGATGACCAGACCTGTCATACTCATTAGACGCCCCTGTGGATCTTGCTAAAATACAGATGCCCAGTTCCCACCAATACTTAACTAGCTCAGAGTCTCTGAGGGTGGGGCCCTAGAATGATTTTTAATTTACCACTTGTTCAGCCAACTTGACATTGGTTCTCAGCTAAGTGTTTTTGAGAGCTACCAGTTTAGTTTAGCCTTTTGAAATCAGACATTTTCCCCTAATATTGTTAGTTTGTGTTTCTTGTTTTGTTGTGAAATACACATGTAAAATATTTTATAAAACATGTATAGTTCAAATAATAATATTGAAATGAACAACTACGTAACTCTCATCCAGTTTAACAAATAGGATATTACCTTAGAATCTTCTGAAGTGAGCTTTCGTTAGAGTTGGAAATGTTTTCTCCAATACATTGGTTTATATGTGGCATTTCATGATCCTTTTCTCTATGCCCTTTTATGCTGAATAAGTTGATAGATCTCTTAGAAGACATGTAGACAGTGTTTTTATAGTAGCTCCATTTCCCTCTTGAAGATCAAGGTGCCGTTTCATTCAAGAGACCCTGAAATGATTATGGGACCTCTGAAAAGCACTGTTGTTTTGTTCTGTTTGAGCACTATGGCCGTTTTTAATATGAATCAAAGAAAACCGCCTGAATTCTGTTAAAATCAGTTCAGTTCAATATCAGGTGTCATGCAAGATTGGCGAATACAAGATAAAGAGTAGTCCTTCCTCTCAGAGAGCTCATGGTCTATCTAGTAAAGAAAGCAAACTTACAAGGAAATAAATTACAATCATAAATGTTAGAGTAGAAGTGTGGACAAGGTACAAAAGGCAGTAGTGTTGGAAATTGGTGGTCTTAGTACGCAAGCAGAGCTTCCAGAAAAAAAGTGACATCTTCAACTGGTTTTTAAGGTAAAAAATAAGACTTCACCAGGGAGGAATTTCAAGGAGAAGGAACCAGATTATAAGCAAGGTTTGCTTTTTCTTTCTGTCATTTTCACATTGAGTTAATTTAGGGAATTTTATGTGGAAATCCACTCCTGCCATTCACAGATATTTGAAGTAAACTGCTGGGAGATAATATTCATACTGGTAGCCACAATGATCCTTTTCTGTTAATTCAGCCATAATTAATTGTTTATTGACTGTTGTAATAGCTTGTGGTGTGGGCTTTTGTGTTTTTTCAATCCCAGTTGGTGAGGATAGCCAAGGTTCTGGGGACAGAAGATTTATATGACTATATTGACAAATACAACATCGAATTAGATCCACGTTTCAATGATATCTTGGGCAGGTAAGTCATAAAACAAAATGTATGCATTTGTAGCTTGAGCACTTTGGGTGTAAACTAACACTTTGGATCTTCAAGAAAGTTATGTTCTCTTTGTGGTCACTGCTAAGGTGTCAAAGGCCCAGTGCCACAGTATGCTGCACGAGCAGGCCTGTGGTAAAAGCATTGGGTTGCGTGGCCATTTTCCCAAATTCAGTTAGAGGAGTGAGAGTGGAGGTTACAGTCAGAGGATTCCTGTGAAATGTGGATTCTACTAGAAAGAGTTACAGTTAAGTTAAAAATCAGAATCTCTTGATTTAGCCTGCTTCTCCAAATGGCGAAACCTCTCCAAGAGAAAGAAAATGTATACTTCAAGACTAATGTGCAGACAGCTGACTCTGACAGTAGTGACTAGACACAATACTAATAGGCCACCCGTTTAACAAGAGGAGGTGGACTTTCCTGATACAAAGGCTTTTGCTGGCCAAGTGGCAGAGATGCCAGGAATGTGTGTGGGTCTGGGAAAGAGGCTTGGTTGGCCTAGCCACCTGACCCTTCTTGCTGCATAGGAGCATTCTCATCCTGTAAAGTAACCTGAATTGTGTTTCTTAAAATTGTGAGGCCCCATATTTCTACAACACCACTATTTCCAGTCTTTCCAATTAGTTCTGTTGTTTCTCCAGTGGCAGAGTGGTATGAGACTACTACTTTCTTGAGTTTTGGTCCTTCTTTGCTATTGGCTGGGCTCCTATCCACTAAGGAAAATCTGGGAGGAAAATGTTAGGCTTCTCTACTGCCGCGCCTCCGCCCCCCTGCCCCGGTCCATTTCTTATTTCCTCTTTTGGCTTTTGCAGACACTCACGTAAGCGATGGGAACGCTTTGTCCACAGTGAAAACCAGCACCTTGTCAGCCCTGAGGCCTTGGATTTCCTGGACAAGCTACTGCGATATGACCACCAGTCGCGACTCACCGCAAGAGAGGCCATGGAGCACCCCTATTTCTGTGAGTCCAACTGCCCAGTCTTCAGAGCCTGTGCAAGCCCTCCCTCCCTGCACTGCTCCAGCAGATTGTATAAAGCAGAGGAGAATATTGGCTGTGATGAAAGCTCTAGACCCAGAGTCACACAGAGCAGGGTGGGAGTCTTAGCTTTGTGACCTTGATTAAAGTTGCTTCACCCACACTGAGCCTCATTTCTTCAAATGGGGACATTGATGGCGATTGTCTTGCAGAATTGTTGGGGAGATTCAGTGGGAAAGTAAGGAAACTTGTTTAGCTGTGTACCTGATACATGAGTAATTCTAAACTGCTTTTCTCACTTTGTGGGTGACACCACAATGGGACTGGCTAGTCTGGAGTGGTGAGTTTAGAATACACAGCATCTTGTCTGTCATGTCTCTGGTAATCAGTCATTGGAGAGAGCCACTGAGAGCTGAAAATCTTAATATTGTACAAACATCCTTGATTAAGTTTTGTGAGTATACCTACTCTGTTGTCCTGAGTGAAAATGCCGCTTAGACCCACCCCATCCTCACTGTGGTGTTAGCTTCAACGTTGGATTGTTTCTTAGGGAGTAGTGGGATGGTTTCATGGTGAACCCATTATGCTCTTGCCCAGTCTCCTATACCTGAAGCAGGCTGACAGGCTGGGTGGGATGGAGAGTGGAGTCTGTTATAGCACTAACCTGCACACACATCGTGCTTTGTCCTCTTTGGTATCCTGGTCTGACCAGCTGAGCTGTGGGCTGCAGTAAAATCCTGATAATATATGTGAGACATCATTTGATCATCCAGACCGTTTAGACTGTTTTTGCCAGGTTGGGTTGTAGGTCTCCATTAAACCTTAGGCTGTCTTTGTTTTATTTAGCTCTTCTATACCATTTGGTTTAAGAGTTGGCCTTTACTAAATAAAGTTTGACAGGGAAGATATCTCTATTTTGTATTACTTGTCTAATTCATGATGAAAGTAGTTGCCACTTTAAGTTCCTCTGGGAATAATATGGAGTATAAATAAAATGCAGAGGTGGCTACTTTAGGCCCCAGCCTGTTTGTTTAATCCTTCAAGCTAAACAGAAGCTAACCTTCTCATCTCTCTTCTAGACACCGTTGTGAAGGACCAGGCTCGGATGGGTTCATCTAGCATGGGAGGGGGCAGTACGCCTGTCAGCAGCGCCAACATGATGTCAGGTCAGTTCATTTGGTAAATTTTCTAAAACACATAGAAGTCAGTTACTATTCTTGTTTCTGCTCTTACTTTGTGGCCTAAACATTTTCTTCTGTGCCTTATTTTTTCTGTAATGAGTCTTATTGACATGCTGGCTTAGACATGTCTGTGGGCTCTCCCCACCAGGTTTGAAGATGTTTCTAACACCTGGTATATTTTAATGACACTGCTTTGAATGAGGTATTGACAGTCTCTTCTGGGTCAGAATCCCAGCATCTCTAACTGAAAATTTATTGCAGACGGACTTTAGCAAGCCATGAAGTACAAAATGAGAGCTGTTCGTCTCATGTTTTAGAGTGACAGTAATTGCATGGCCCTCAGAAACAAGATTAAGAAATTGAGGATGGGATTTGAAATATAAGTATGTGTATGAGGATAGTTCTCTGATTTTTGGCAGAGCAACTACAGTGTGCCTAGTAAATTGTAAATATCGATATGAAATTGGTTTTTCATTATTGTTAAATAATTTTGTAGAGAGTACAAAATTATTCAAAAGAAACCACAGGCCCATCCCCTAAAAATTTCATATGTAGGCAACTTCCAAGTGGAGACACTTGTGATAGTGAGGGCATTTACTCAGACGCTCAAGGAATTGCTGTTGTCCCAGTTTTTTTTTTAAAGAACTAGAACTGCCTTCTAGAATTTAATCTTCTAGATATCTTGCCTGTGTGCAAAATGATGTATATTCGAGGTTACTCATTGTAGCCTTATATGTAATGGCAAAACATTAAAAAACAGCTGTCAGTAGGGAGCTAGTTAAATCAGTTATAGGAAATCAATTCATTGGGATATTGGTGCAGCCAGGGAAAAGACTGAGAAAGTGCTTTGTGTTCTGTTATACCTCAGATTCCAAGATAATGTGAAGTGAAAGAAAGCAAGCTGCAAAGCCGTATCCAAGAATGAGGAGTGGGCAAGAATATATAATCATGTTCTGAAGTTTCTTGTATGCATATACTTTAAAAATTATATTCATGCATATGCATAAAATATCTCTGAAAGAATACACCCCAAAAATTGGACCATAAGTTGGTTGAGCAATAAGGCAAGGGAGATTTTTCACTGTACTCTTTTGAACGTTTGTATTTTGAACCATGTGAACATATTGCCTGTTCAGAAAAGAAAGAATATTTTGAAAATTAAAAAACTGACTGAAGGTAATCTAACTAGCTGATCGAGGATAATCTCACAGGTAATTAGAGGGGTGGAAAACACCAGATGGAAACACATTTCAAAACATTATTTTAGCTTAGAGGTAGGAAGGACTCCTTTCGCCACTGAAAGTGTTAGTAATTTTGAAAGCTGCCAGCTAATGGCTCTTCCAGATGAGGCAACTTGGTGTAAGAACACATGAGCTTTGGCTCCATTCCTGTGCTGTTTAATGTGATAGTAACTAGCCACATGTGTCTATTTAAATTAACTAAGATTCAATAAAATTAAAAATTTAGTTCTTAAGTCACACTAGCCACATTTCAGTGCTCAATAGCGACATGTGGCTAGTGGGCCACTATGTTAGGTGGCACAAATTACAGAACACTTCATCATCACAGAAAGTTGTGTTGGATAGCACTGCCCTAGACAGATCTGGGTTGGAATCCAAGTGTAATTGCCACCTACTACCTTGGACAAATTGCTTAAACTCTCCAAGCTTAGATTTCTTTGCCTGTCTTCCTAAATTTATTAGGGCTTGCCATTTTAACTTGAATTTGTGAAGGTTATACTTATAGATATATGTAGAAATCTGGCTAAGGGAACATCTTCAATAGAGGGTTGCTATCATGTCACTTTTGAGATAGGTGCTATGAAACCTGGCAACTGAGATTTCCGTGGTTGGTGTCTTTGGCTCACTGTCCGCTATTTTCTTTCAGGGATTTCTTCAGTGCCAACCCCTTCACCCCTTGGACCTCTGGCAGGATCACCAGTGATTGCTGCTGCCAACCCCCTTGGGATGCCTGTTCCAGCAGCTGCTGGCGCTCAGCAGTAATGGCCCCTTCTGTCTCCTGATAACCTGAGCAGAGGTGGGGGAGTCCACCCCTCCCCTTGATGCAGCTTGCGCCTGGCAGGGAGGGGTGAAACACTTCAGAAGCACCGTGTCTGAACCGTTGCTTGTGGATTTATAGTAGTTCAGTCATAAAAAAAAAAAATTATAATAGGCTGATTTTTTTTTTTTTTTTTTTTTTTAACTCGAACTTTCATAACTCAGGGGATTCCCTGAAAAATTACCTGCAGGTGGAATATTTCATGGACAAATTTTTTTCTCCCCTTCCAAATTGAGTTCCTCATCACTAAAGAACAAAGATGAACCAGCCTCAATCCCAGCTGCTGCATTTGGGGGGAGATTTCTTTCCATTCCCCCTATTGCTCCCCCACCAGCCCACACTTTGGGGGTTTGTATCTTGTGCTCTTCTCCAGAGATTACCAAAATGTAGCTTCTCGAAGGAGGCAAGAAGGAAGGAAACGAGGAAGAGAGGACCCAAGCTATAAGAGCACTGTACTGCTAGTCACTTATATCGCTTTACTCCTGAAGTGCTTCAGTGGGGTTAGCCTGGTGAATCTAGTGGAAACATGTCTTAGTTACATTAAGATGTTGAAAATCTAGCCAGAGTACAGACAGATCCTAAAAACTTCTGTTCTTTATGAATCATGTCTTATTTCCCTACGTCTAAATCCAGCTCACTTATAATTTTAGTTTCAAAGTTTAGTTTAAAATTTTAATATCTTCCAGGCTCTTGGCCCTCTTGCCTTTCATCTCCCAACACACTGTGCTCTATAGCTGGTAGGAGAGAAGGCAAAATCTTCTTCAGTTTTCTTTGACTTGGCCATTTTAAATTCACTTAGTTACCAGGCATAACTCTTTGCTTTTTACAGAAGAAACATACTGTCTATGTAAGTTTCATGCTAGCAAGTCTTTAAGAGGTAGAGGGAGATGTGGCCACACTGAGTTTCATTTTAAGCTTCTACCTTCTTTTCCTCCTACCTTCCCCTTCCCTCACATGCCATCCAGTGAGAAGACTTGTAAATTGTGACCTGAGAGGCAGGAGCAGAGCCACTATCTCCATTGAAGCTGAAATGGTAGACTTGTAATTGTGGGAAAACTAAACTCTATCTTGTTGCAGCCCTGCCACCCCTTGCTGTGTGTATATATATAATACTTTGTCCTCCATATGTGAAAGATCCAGTGTTGGAATTCTTTGGTGTAAATAAACGTTTGGTTTTATTTATCAAGGTTAGATTTAAGTTCCCTGTGTAAAGGTCTCGCTGGGTGGGTGTCTCACGTTCACATCTGAGGGGCCTGCAGCCCTGTACCGTGGGGGCTTCCCGAGGTCCCCATTTTTATATACCCCTTGTTCAACCTGTGGTACTGGGCAGGGCAGAGAGGCCTTAAAAAAGCACCACAAGCCAAAGCGTCTCTGGGGATTAAGGATCCTTTGCCATAAAACTCATTCTGTGTCTCAGCAGTGCAGGGATTGGGGATGGAAAAAGTTGCCAGTTTTTGTGTGTTTGTGTGTGTGTAAAGTGGATTTTCCACTGTAATCCAGCCACCTAAGTTTATCAGGTGCTTCACTAAGGAAGCCTAGTTTTTTAAGCACAATAGCAAAACCATCAGCTCTGTATTTTCTCGTGTTGTTTCATTACAGTAGCTGCTTGTGGGGACTAGGAAAAATCTTCCAACATATCTTAAGGCCTAAAGTCTTAGTTCCCCATTCTCTTACCTTTATAGAGTCACAAGCCTTTCTCACCTGGGCATCATAAACAATTGTTTTGGGGAGTTGAATTTAATGAACTTACCTAACTTTGTAACCCATTTTGGCTTTAGTAACTTTATTGAGGTGGTGGCTTTAGTGAATATGATGGCAAAGATTAGACAAAGCTGAAACCTCCTTTTATAATGCTTCTCAACCAGAGGGAGAGCTGAAGGGGAAACATTCTGTGTGGTAGGGTGATTTTCTTCTTTGTGGCCACTTAACAGTAGGTATTTATTGTACTTGACCCTTTTATGCCCTAGAATGCTGTGAGGGTTACCATGTTGCATTTGTGCAGAAGCTAAAAGCACCAGATGTGCCAGAGATGCAATTTGTGATTACGTTTGCACTGGATTGTGATTTGAACAGGACACTTAGGACTAATAACTCTTTCTTTTGAGGTGGGGAGGGGGGTTGTAAATCAAGTCTTCACACCCCCACCCTTGTAGCTCAGAGACTCTAGGTGTGTAGCTGAAGCTGATGTGGGGAGCTGCAGACAGCTGGACATCCTAGCACCCATCAGACCTTGAAAGAAACTGAAGGTGAATGCAGAGGACTCAAACACCACCCAAGAGCCTTTTAAGATAAATAGAAGTTTAAAATGCTACTTAAGGAGTCACTGCAGAAGCATGAAAGCAAAACAAAACAAAAAAAGACCCAGTTGGGGGTGGGTGGGGCGCAAGGGTTTACAGAGTAACAACTTCTGTGTTGTTGTAAATTACCTCATCTGTATACCTTGTATTGGGACACTTTATTTCTCAGCACTGCCTGTGTCTGCATAGATGGCAGGAAATGGAATGCCAATATAAGACAGTTGTGTTGGCAATTAACTCTAAAAGGTTTTTTAAATATTTTTTAACTTTGTTTGAAGTGGCCCTTTTTTTTTAAGTTTGAAGTCAGAAGGTTTTTTTTGTTCTTTTTTTTTTTTTTTTGTCCTTTATCCCATTGACTTATTGGTTATAATTGTATTGTAATTGATAATAACTAAAACATAACTGTGCTGGGAAGAAGTTGTGCCATGAAGGTCTTTAATTTTTTTTTTTAATAAAAACATTTAAACAAATGAAATGTCCCTGCATCCTGAGCAGTGTGCTTCTCCAACCGACACCGTGTGTGATAGATGGCTTAGTTTTCACATGTTTTGAATTTAATATTGGGTTGATGGAGATGTTGAGTGGAATGAATTAAGGCTGGTCAAGGAGCACTGAAATCTGGGAGTTTTGGACATTAAGGTACAGTGAAAGGAGTGTGATGATGTGTTCAAACCAGACTGGTCTCATTCCTGCCCTTGTCACACACTTGGCTTCTTGGCAGGTTATTTAACTTCCCAGTCGGTTTCATCATCTGTAAAATGGAGCCACTGTTCCCTTGGGATTGAATGAATATCTCTGTCCAGTGTCTGGTACCTGTTAGAGCCTTGATAAACCTAAACCCCCTGGCCCTTTGGTATGGAGGGTTAGTCGTTGGTCCTGGCTTTACCAGTGATTCACAGCGTGACCTGACAGAGGCCTTTGTGTGTCTGCAGGGTGAGGGAGACTGGACAAGGTGTCTTCTGAGGTTCTTTTTAGCTCCGACATTGATTTTAGAAAGTTTGAGTGGTGTTTAAATGAAAGGTCCACGGAGACAGCTTCTTTTAGCAAAAGAAAAAGAAAGGCCAGTTGAAGGTCGGCTTTGGAGATCACCCCAGCATTGCAGGCAACTTGCTGAACCTTGGTACCTGGATTGAGGATGTGCTGGTGAGCTTGTGAGAACATAGTTGGCAACTTAAATGGAAACCATCAAAGGATTAGTAGAACGGTTTACTTGTTTATCAATGACAAGAGTAACATCTACAGGAGTATACTTGAATTGCCATTTATTCTTTCTCATTTCACCACAGTAAAAAATTAAAATCAGAGAAAATGCTGGTATCCCAAATTTCTAGTTCCCCTTAAATATTCACTGCATACTATTTTATGGCATCCACATATTAATATAGGAGTTGAGAAGCATGGTTTAGATTACAAGGAACCATTGTGCAGTATCTTGCATCTGAAATGCCCTTTAACTTAGATAAGCTTTCGTTTCAAACATATTTCCATTTTATAGGTGAAACATAGATAGGGAGATTTACTTTTTAGAGTGAATCTGTTAGAAAATATATTTTGTAAAATTAGATCTTCCAGGATAGGTCTAATTACTGTAGGCTAAAATAGTAGAGAAAATTGTAGATTAGTGGACAGATAGGGGAATTTTAATTTCCTCTCAGTCTTTAAATTTCATCTTGCTTCACCTGATGTCAACTGTGGTTATAATTAGAACTACCATTTGAGCATCTCTTGAAAAATCTAGTTTTGTCACCACTGCCTATAGATTCCCAGCAGCACATTCTCTCCTGAGATTAGAATTAGCTTTGAGTAGTTGTTCATTCATCAATCCTTGCCTGCCTCCCTGCTGGTAATTTCCTTCTCCCTGGTGCCTGAGCTTTAGGGACTGCAGCTGATCTTCAGTACCGTACATCCTAGAGAGGCTGTCCCAGGGCCTTTTCCTAGTTGAAATCATTAACCAACAGGCTTTGAAGTAAAGTCGTCCTAGTCCCTCCCCAAAAAGTGAGTCTAAAAACCGTGATCCTAACTGATGCTCCACCCTGTCTGAAGTCACCTCTCCCTGCTTTCCCCCACTGCCGTCATTCTACCTCCTTGCCCTTTTTTCCCTCCTCATAACCCAACTACCTGAACTTCTATTGTATTCTTTTGTTTATTATCTGTCTTACCTCCTGCATGTGAACACCCTAATGACAGGAACCATGTATGTCTTGTTTATCTATATACCTCATAAAAACCTTAAATAAGTGGGCCCAGTATCCCTCAGGAGTGAAGAAGATTGAATGGAACAGCTTGAGGAAAATGCTTTTCACCATACCTGGCTTGTGGTAGATGCTCAGTAAATGGCAGTTCCCTTTTCCACTCCTACTGCCTTTACACACACACCCACACAGAATAAGTGAATGGAAGTATTATTGCATAAAAAGCATCTCAACCGTTACCAAAAGAACCTTGCTCTTAGGTTTGCAGCTGTAATTCAAAGCGACGGGCCAGACCGAATTAACATGACAAGAAAATGTTCATGAGCCTTTGCTGAAATCATGGGTGGCTGAAGACTGAGCAGCGATCCTCACCAATCTGGTAGACTTAGATGCTGAAATCTCCCTGCTTTCCACCACTTGCATAACAATAATAGGAACTTCAGACTTCTCTTAAGAAGAATGGACATAGAGAGGGTGTCACATACTATCTTGCATATGTAATAGTAACTGCCTTACTGTGATTCTGTGCAGAACTAACCACTTCAGAGAAGGAGCCTAGTGGAAATGCAAATGCCCTGGTTTTGATCAGAGTTTGTCTGGCTGTGTGATCTTTAATCAGTTACTTAACCTCTCTAGATTTTCACAAGTGATTTGACCTAGGTGAACTCAAAAGTCCCCAGCATTTCCTTTTTTAATGTTCTTAAATTATTATAAAATGTTTAAGATACATACCAAGCTACAAAGAAGCTGTAACATACCCATGTACCTACCACCCAATTTAAGTTGACATTACCAACACAGATGAAGCCTCCCTCTTAGCCCTTTCCTGGTCATATTCTTTTCTCTTCCCCTCTACCCAGAGGTCGTAGTATTTCATTCATCTGTAAAATTGGATTGTAAATACTGTTCCATGGCGTGGTGGTTCTGATTAAATGATAAATGTGTGGAAAGTGCCTAGCAGTGTCTGCCACATAGTAGAGTTGGACCAAATGTTTCCACTCTGATTTGTACGTTTGTACAGATAATGTACAGTAGAAAGATGCCACATATATAGGGACGCTGTAGATGTGTGCTTTTTTTCTAACAATTTTCCATCAGATAACAGTAAAGTATCTTGTTCTGGAGGGTGGGGGAATCCATACTATGACAGATTTTTAACAGACACAGGTCAGTTTCTAATTTGTGCCCTGTTCTACCCTTCTCCCTCCTCCGCTCTAAGATTCTGTCATTCTTATCTCTGAATTCTTTATTTCTCCACTGAAAGTCAAATATTTTGCACTGTAGCAAATTACAAACTAGATTTGCCTCCCTGTGGCCATAGTTACCAGAGATTCTTACTGGCCTCAATGTAAGAAGGTTTTCCCCAGGGACCGCCAGATGGGAGCTTACAGGATGGCCAACCCATTTCTTGGAGAAGTTCCTAGGGGGATTGGGTATTTCTGAATCAGCTTCACTCTTGCATCACCTGCTTTGACACAGTTTTCTTGGTTCCTCTGTAGAACAAAGGAAAAAAAAGCAGCAGCAGCCAGTAAGTGGTTTCCCGATTCCACCCTGTGAGTCAGAGTCTCAGCTGTAGATACAGATTTGTAGCCATGTTTAGAAGTTCCGGAAACTCCATGGTGAATTTCCTGTGAAGAAGCCTATATACCCTAGAACCTAAGCTTTCTACACCCTGATGTACACCTCAGCTCCATCCC